CCTCTATTAACTATGGTCTGACAAAAGTATACTCGCAAACTTTTTCGTATACTTAGGGTATCAGGGTACCCCTAGCCACCATTGTGCATTAAACTCTTAATAGCACAAAACCTTTTAATCAAAACCTCAACAAAGTATACATTTTCTGAAAGCTGAATAAATGTAGAAACTTTTCCGTTTTTCCTTTTTGTAAAATAAACTAATCCTTTTAAGTTAGAGCGAATTATTCAAATATTCACCGTGGCATCTTCGCGGAGTTCGATGACAGCCGGTAATGATCGGAAAACAATGCTTATTATCTTTCCGAGATCACGAAACATCACTTGTCATAAAGTGTCTCTGATTTTTGATTAGTTGCCCCGTTGCTTTTTTATACGCTCTTAAAGTTATGACGCTGCAAGCCAAAAATCCACGATAACTGGAAATAAGCAAAAAATCAAAAATCGGAGACACGCTTTTGAACAACAACTATCCAAGATGACTTCCTTAAAATTTCAGTTAAATCAGTCAAATTCCCTTTGACATCGGACTCAAAATGTACGGGTAACTGAACGCAAAATCACTTCCGAGAAAAACGCAAAGATGTTTCCGACTGAGCGGAAGCGTCTTTGTTGACACAAACCGTATTTTTTTATTACTCGCTATTAAAAATCACTATCGAATTTTTTTTGGGGGGGGGATCGAAGAATATCATATATTTCATCGCAAAATGTAAGAATGTAAAAATCGATACTTTTGAGCAATTTGGGGTACCCTGAAACCTTAATAGGAGAAAACAAACATTTTTTTCTCACTCAAACTCTTCAAAATTCTTAGAAAACGTGCTGAAAAGCAGCGCATGCTCAAACGTTTTTCTCTAGCGTCACATTAAAGTACTATACAAAAAGTACTCTACTTGTTAGCAATCTCGTTCGAGTTAAATATGCTATTTTATGCTAACTAAGGATTCTATTGTTCTGCCATCTAACCACAATCAATCGTCCTCTTCTTGTTTTCGAGACTGTTACGCGAAACAAATGTTCATACGCGCGCGATAGTATAATATTCTACCTTATGTATTGTTATTAATGAGATATAAGGCATCCACTATGGCCCGGAACAATGCCCAGGTAACCCATAGTGTAATGTTTTTTATCCCGCTTGCTCGCGGGTCGACGTCTGTACTCTTACCGTTAATTTGAATGAAGTGGCGCAGAGGGAATACGCTTCCATTTATATATTACTCTATTTGCACATTACAATTCCCTAGCCTATTCATCATAATATTCACAATGACTGTGAATAGTATTGTTGTTCTAATCGTCCACCTGTATTCTCTATATTATACTGTATATGATTAATCGAAGGGAACGTTCTTTTTTTATCGTTAGTTTTTCTTGTGAGCTGCGTCA